AATCATAAATCATAAATCATAAATCATAAATCATAAATCATAAATCATAAATCATAAATCATAAATCATAAATCATAAATCACAAATCACAAATCACAAATCACAAATCACAAATCAATTCCAACTCTAAATATTGGAACCAGCATGATTCTATGGGAATGTTTCTCTTAAGGGGATGGAACCATCAAAGCAAGATTTTAGTATCTGGAACCTAATTACTTGCTGGTATTTGGCACAAATAGTGTGTGGCAATTGTGGGAGCTACCCAAATCAAGAAATATCTCCAGATAAGACTGAGAGAGATCAATTGCTTGATCTCTTACTCTTCCCCTTTTTTCTTCTATAGCCATACCTGTAATGCAGTGATAAGAACTCTATACCTAAGTTCACATCTGATAGCGCCACAGATACGTATATTATTGGTGTTGTGAGGTTAGTTGCTCATTTTTCTCCCTTTATCTAATGGAATAATTGCCTGCTACAGAGGAAACTAGAAAGGCAAATATCTCAGACTTCCTGCTGCATGCTATCTCTCGATGGATGCAACTTTTGTATGATTTATCCATTCCCAAATAAGTTTGAGCCTCCATATAAACACTATAATCATTTTTAATGGCATTTGCGCATAAGGCAGGCTCTTGAGACAGTGTCCAATTGAGAGACACTATGGGTTTCGAGGTTTTATTTGATGGAAATGCAATGGGGCTTCTTCACAGTTTGTTTCTGGTAAGCATTTTGCCACAAAAAAAGGAACACCCCCCCCCCCCAAGATTACTGTCTATCCTACAGTGGATTATGATGTTGTACTCACGGGTGGGCTGCTACATGAGAACCTGTAGCTAACGTTATGGCTGGTTCGGAGAACCTCCAAATCCCACTTATGGCGGGCCCCTCCCACCCCTTCCCTCCCAGGAGTCTCCCATGGCCCGTTTTGGAGGATAAGTTCAGGGCCCATGTGGAGGCTCGGGAAGGGAGAAAAACAGGCCTCCTGGAAGTTCCAGGAGGGCCTCCGGAGCCTGGGGTGGGCAGTTTTCATCCTCTCAGAAGCTTGAAGAAACCTGAGGAAGGTGAAAATGCCCCCGCCCGGCGCAGGACGCCAACTAGGCCACATTAGGTAAATGCTATTTCTCTTTTAGTTATTGATCCAAAATAGAGTTCATACAATATTTTTTTTATTTAATTTTTATCCCACCTTCATTTAAAAAATAAATAAATAACTCAAGTTAGTGAATGTATCTAACAGTCTTTTCTCCTCTTGTTTTCCCCACAACAATAACCCTGTGAATTTGGTTGGGCTGAGAGAAAGGGATTGGTCCAAAGTCATCCAGCTGTTTTCATGCTTAAGCCAAGACTAGAACTCACGGTCTACCAGTTTCCAGACCAGTACCTTAACCACCATATTTCTCTTCTCTTCTCTTCTCTTCTCCCCTCCTCTATCCTATCCTATCCTATCCTATCCTATCCTATCCTACCCTATTCTATCCTATCCTATCCTATCCTCCCCTCTCCCTCTTCCTTCCCTTCAAATCAATGACAGATTTACGAAATTATTTCTGTATTGTTTACAATACTGATACTGCATAGTTAGGAGGGTTTGCCCACATTCTTATACTCCCTTTATGGGACAGAAGAATTGGTATGAGATGTTATCAATTTCATATTCTGTAGGACCAGTTAGACGGGAAGGGGTGGGAAATAAAGAAGTAGAGATTTGCAATAAAGAAATCCACATTGGTATTTTTAAAAAAATCCTCTCCTTCGTTTAGAGCCTTCACATTCTACAGAGGAGCAAACCAAACTTGTTTGCCCCTTGCTAAAAATATAGGAAGGAGCTACAATTCTTATTTGTTTCATAAATATATCCCAGATGACACATGTTCATATGTCTTTTCAGTACATTGTCTGCTTATATTTTGGCCCTTGAAATGATTTTATCT